AAAAAAAAACTATGAACAAATTCCTATGCACACTGCACATATCTTATTTTGAAGTAAAAAAACAAAACGGGAACAAATACAATATTTGTATTTGCATGTGGCCCACGGGCCGTAGTTTGAGGACCCCTGCTCTAAAGATTTAGAGAACAGATAATGATGAAAGATTTAACTAGGATATCTGGCATAGCCAAGAAGTGATAAGGTGCTCAGGAAAATGTTCAAGGACCACAGAGCAGATTAGTGGCAGAATTCAATGTAGAGGCTAGATCTCCCGCCTTCTTGCCCAGAGGTCCTTCCACTAGCTCTCATACCATATTAGGGCTGCTTGTTTTCCCTGCTAGCTGTAAGGCACAGTCTATTTTGTTTCCCTTTATTCATCCCTGAAGTAAAAGCAAAGACTCAGTGATTTAAACCACAAAAATTTGATTTATTGGAGAGTTGACTTTACTTGAAGCTTGGATGCTCTTACTTTATTGTTTAAAGATAACTAGGGTATTGCTTTTGAATGATTAAGAACTTACAGTGTATACTCAAAAGGTTAAATAAGTTGGAATGAAAAAGGAAGCCTGAGCCTTGTTCATAATGCCATTGCTAGGAGCAAAACCAAAATCAGGATAGATAGAATGCTTCCCCCATATGACTATGTATCTAACTCCATAGATGAAAAGAGTGTATATGTCTATGTATATGTATGCGTGTGTGGGCATATAACAGCTCTTAAAGTGCATTTTGATTGCATTCTGAGAGGAGTTTAGCAGGTCTGTTACAATCTGCAGATTATGATAGTTTCAAATGGACCACCAACTTATACCATACACAAAAATAAATTCAAAATGGATTAAAGACTTCAATGTAAGATGTGAAACCATAAAAATTTTAGAAGAAACCATAGGCAGCAAAATCTCAGACATCTTACTGATACATCTCCTAGGACAATGAAAACAAAGGAGAAAATAAACAAATGGGACTACATCAAAATAAAAAGCTTCTGCACAGCAAAAGAAACCATCAACAAAATAACAAGAGCGCCCACTAAATGGGAGAACTTATTTGCCAATGATACATCTGATAAGGGGTTAATCTCCAAAATTTATAGGGAACTCATACAACTTAATAAGAGCAAGATAAACAATCCAATTAAAAACTGGGCAAAGGACCTAAATAGACACTTCTCCAAAGTGGACATACAGATGGCCAAAAGGCATATGAAAAAATGCTCAAAGTCACTAATCATCTCAGAGATGCAAATCAAAACGACAATGAGGTACCACCACATACCTGTCAGAATGGCTGTCATCAACAAATCAACAAATGACAAGTGTTGGCGAGGATATGGAAAAAAGGGAACCCTCATACACCGCTGGCTAGAATGCAGACTTCGTGCAGCCACTGGGGAAAACAGTATGGAATTTCCTCAAAAAATTAAAAATGGAACTCCCATTTGACCCAGTGATCCCACTTCTAGGAATATATCCTAAGAAATCACAAACACCAATCAGAAAGCATACATGCAGCCCTATGTTCATTGCAGCATTATTTACAATTGCTAAGATTTGAAAATAGCCTAAGTGCCCATCAGCAGATGAGTGGATTAAAAAACTGGCATATCTGCACAATGGAATACTATGCAGCTATAAAAAAGAAAGAACTCTTCCCATTTGCAACAGCATGGATGGACCTGGAATGCATTATGCTCAGTGAAATAATCCAGTCAGAGAAAGATAAATATCACATAATCTCACTCATTTGTGAAATATAATGAAAATGCATAACTCATGGACACAGACAATAGGGTGGTGAAGGCGTAAGGTGGGGGACGGGGGTGGGCTGGGAGAAGTCAATGGAGGAAAAAGAGGACATATGTAATATTTTCAACAATAAAGATTTAAAATAATAAAAATAAAATGTATCCAGGAAATTACACACACACACACAAAGAAAGAATAAATTTTATTTAAAACTTTTGGATTTTCAGGAAAATGGTGAAGATAGTACACAGAATTTCCATTTATTTCCTATACTAGAGGCCCGGTGCACGACATTTGTGCACTGAGGGGTGTGGGGTCCCTCAGCCCGACCTGCACCCTCTCCAATCTGGGATCCCTCAGGGGGGCCCTTTCCAATCCAGGAGTTTCTGTCTGTCTTTGCAATCATATGAGTGAGTTGTCTGAGACCCCAACTCAGTTTGATTTGTTGCTCACAAAATAAGAGAGACATTTTTTTTTTCTTTGCTTCATTGGTGGAGATTTCCTGAAGTTTTAGGATATCTTCCCTTTAATTTTTCCTAGACACTCTGATTTTACTTATGTCTCTCACCTTTGCTTTCCCTCCATCCCCCACTGCAACAGTAACTTGCTCCAGGTTCACTTTGCTCTAGTGTCTAGGAAATCCGTCTGCCACCAGAATGCTACGATTCCTAGCATTCCTAGTGCTCCCGCGCTCTGGGCTTCCGCTTCCTGTCCTGGGGCTGCCACCAGAACTACTATTCCCAGAATTCCTGGTGCTCCCCGTGCTCTTGGTTTTCCCTTCCTGCCCTGTCTCTGTCCCATGGCCTCTCACTCTGCGTCCTCCAAGGCTCTCCCTCTCTGCTCTTCGTCTGGCAGTTTGGGGAGCCATTTTCCCCAAGCCGCTCCACTCTCCGCTGGCTCTCCTGCTCTGCTCTCCCCCCCGTGTCCTGGGGGGAGTGACCGAGGGAGCCACGTCCCCCCAAGCCACCGACTCTCCGGCTCTGCTCTCTGCCCAGCGCCTGTGTATGCAAATTAACCCGCCATCTTTGTTGGGTTAATTTGCATACTCCTGATTGGCTGGTGAGCGTAGCGGAGGGGCGGTCAACTTACATGTTTCTCTTTTATTATATAGGATTATTAACATCTCACATTATATGGTACATTTGTTACATTTAATGAACCAATATTGATACATTATTATTAACTAAAGTCTCTATTCAGATACCTTTAGTTTTTGCCTAATGTCTTTTTTCTGTTCCAGGATTAAATAAATGTTTATTAGCATGATCACTGATATAGAAGGCATCCACCTGGAGGTTACACTAATTTTGAAGTCCCTTTCAATTTGTGGGAGTATGATTAAATGACTACAGTCTTAACTGTTGCAGAATTCTCACTGGTAACAGTTGCAGTCTGTAACAAGCGGTTACTTTATTGATAGTAATGGCTCTTAAATAGTTTTTTTCTGAATTTTTAGCATCATCAGTTCTAGGAAGGACAAGACTAACTGTTATTGTCATAGGCTAAATTGTAGGTGAAAATAATCTAAAGTAAATTGCCTTCTTTGGAAGCAATGTGGATCAACTATTCTACTTCAATATGTTTACCCTCCTGAAAGTAGTTTTTGAAGCCAGCACTGTCTTCAAAATTTAATCATTCAAATTTCCCTATAAAGATCTTAAAATATTTCTTCCATAAAAGTTCATTTGTTATTTACTAGAGTTGAATACATTCATGTCTATGACTCAGCAGTTCCACTACTAGATTTATACACAACTGAATTGTGTGCTTATACTCACCAGAAGACATGGACAAAAATGTTTATGGCATGGCTAATTGTAATAGTCCAAACTGGAATTTTTCAAATGCCTATTAACAGTAGAATGGGTAAATAAGTTTCTGGTACAGTCACACAATGGACACTGAATACTGATCAGAATGAACAAACTGTAACTACATGTAATAATGTGTGAACTTCACAGATGCATTGCTGAGCAAAAGAAGCCAGACACTAAACGTGAATACATTATGATCCTTTCACAAACAGGTAAAACTAATTTGTGGTGTCAGAATTTAGGAGATTGATTATCCTTGTTGAAGGTTGGGGAAAGTGTTTAGAATGGGGTCTGAAAGGCCTTCTAGGGTGCTAATTATGTTCTGTTTCTTGTTTTGGATACTAGTTTCATGGGTGTGTTCCCTTTGTGAAAATTCACCAAGCTTATATAATTTTCTGTATTCATGTTATTCTTCAAAGAAAAGAGTATACAAAAAATTAGTAATTCTGCAAAACACATACAAAATTCACTGCTAAAATTGAAGGGATATTTGGAGAACTAACTGAACATGTTAACCTTATATGGTTTCCGAATTATAGGATTATCAAAGTGCCATTGTGTTACTGGAGCTGTTACAGTCTTATTTATATTATAAGATGAATAAAGTAGGTGGTGCTAATGGCTGCTTTTTACTGTAATCAGGATTTGGGGATGCCTCAGAAAAGACCCCCTCCCCCCCCAGTCTCTATGAAGTAGAGTCGCAAGTCACATTGTCCACCCATTCTTTTATTGTCGTAAAGACTGATAAGCCAAGTACTTGGATATATTACTGTTTTTATGTTAGCTGCAATTTCTCTTTCCCACTGATTGTCTTTGTTAGATCAGCGAGTGAGCTTCCGTCTTGCCTCTCTGATATTCTACATCTTCTTTGGCTTTATTAGTACAGGCATCACTTCAAACCTAACAAGAATGTAAAGTCCTTTTCCCAAGTGGAGCCCCCTTTTTGGATCTTTACTGTTTTTCTTCCAGTTACTTTAGTTAAAATTATTTTTTTGGTTCTTTTCCTTTTCCTTTGTAATGCTTTCCTATCCTTTTTTTTATGTGGTAAAATATCTATAACAAAACTGACCATCTTAACCATTTCTTTTCTAAAAAATTAATTAATTTTTGTTAATCCTCACCTGAGGATATTTTCCCATTGATTTTTAGAGGGAGTGGAAAAGAGGGGGAGAGACGCAGAGAGAGAAACATCGATGTGAAAGAGACATATCTTTTGGTTGCCTCCCACATGGCCCGACCAGAGCTGGGAATTGATCCTGCAAACAAGGTATGTGCCCTTGACTGGAATCGAACCCAGGACCCTTCAGTCCTCAGGCCAACATTCTATCCACTGAGCCAAACTGGGTAGGGCATTTAAAAAAAAATAAGTTATTTATTTATTTTAGAGGAAGAAGAAGGGAGAGGGATAGAGAGATAGAAACATCAATGAGAGAGAAACATCGATTGGCTACCCCCACACGCCCCCCCTACTGGAGATCAAGCCTGGACCCTGGGCATGTGCCCTGGCTAGGAATCAAACCTGTGACTTCTCTGTGGGTTGACACTCAACCACTGAGCCACACTGGCTGGGCATTTTAACCATTTCTTAAGTATACAGTTCAGTATCCCACCCTATTATTTACTAACTAAATCCTAGATGGAGCCTACCTTTGTCATCTCACTTATGTTGTATTTTGTATTTCCGTTATCACCACCTTTACACTAGTTTAAAACTACTATTTTCCGTGTTCCTGGACTTTTGTTTAAATAGCAACTCAACTTCTAGTGTTTCCTCTGTCTGTAGCCAATACATTCTGTATCTTCCTGCCAGATTTCTTTCTACAATTTCACTTACAAAATCATTTTTCACACAAAACTTGCCACTACCTATAGGATTTAATGCAAATTCCTTAATCTCATATTCAAGGCCTTCTATAATTGAGGTACAATCTATCTTTCTCTCTTTAATGATAATGTTGTTTTTTATAACCAGTAACCGCTTACTAACTTCCAGGTTGTGTAAAGCACCGTGCATGCATGATTTTATTTGATTTAGTCCTATAAAGTAGGGACTGTAATTGCCACTGCTGAGGAAATAGAGGCTGGAGGGTTCTAAGTAACATGCCCATAAGTGAAGGAACTGGGAGTTCAAATATATGCCTCCATATTCCATAGTTGTAGATTGCAGTGCTCTTGAATAGGCTAGTCCCCAACCATTGAGCAGTTCTACCTTTACCTTAGATCTTTTATTTCGTAGATCCACTGCCCATAAAGCCCTTACTTGTTTCTTTCTTCCTCTCTCACAATCTTGTACCATCCATCCTTCAAGGCCTAGCTGAAGTCCCATCTATTCAGTGATTTTTTTCCTCCCTTTCCCCAATTTATAGAATACTCATTAGCCCAACACACACTTTGTACTTTCACTGCCTTAAATCTGTATCTCTTATATATGGATGATTCAGTTTAGACTTTAGATTGTAACCTCCTTTAGGTTGAGGGCTTGGATTATAGATTTTTTTTGTATTTCCTGCAGTGCCTTATATTATAACAGGTGCTTAATAAATGTACTAGTATATGTTTATTCTTTGAAATGATAACAGAACTGTTAATAGCTAAGATCTATGATGCTCATCTAAGACTTGTTTTTGTGTGCTTTACAAATCCAACTAGCAGTCTTAATTCAGAACCAGGAATGATATATTTAGATTAGAGCTAGATATCATTGAGTTGTTGGCAGGAAGCTTGTTTACTATTGCCACATACTGATTCAAATTAGAACAGCTCTTCATATCCAGAATTGGACTTTTTCTCACAGTCTCACCACTGGCACTTTGGTTTAGGCCACCACCATATCTAACCTAGATGGTATCAACAGCCTCCAAATTATTCTCTCTGCTTTTGCCATTTGTTTTCCATGATCAGAACTCAAGTAATGGGAGTAATGATACCAGGTAGAAGACTACCCTTCCAACAGCTTCTGATCTCACTCAAAGTAAAAGACAAAGTACAGTTATGTACTGCTTAACGGTGGGGATATGTTCTGAGAAATATGTCGTTAGGTGATTTCATTGTTCGAACATGCTAGAGTGTACTTACACAAACCTAGATGGTATGACCTACTACACACCTAGACCATATGGTATAGCCTATTGCTCCGAGGCTACAAACCTGTACATCAAGGAAAGAGAAAATGATGCAACCAAGAGATGCTTGGTATATATGAGGCTATTGCCTGCAAAACATAGGCTCACTGGCTAGGACTACAGTAAACTTTTAAAATTTATTTTATTTATTTTTGTTAATCCTCACCCGAGGTTATTTTTACCATTGATTTTTTAGAGACTGGAAGGGATGGGAGGAAAGAGGGGGAGAGACAGAGAGGGAAGAGGAGAGGGAGAGAGAAACATCGATATGAGAGAGAGACATTGATTGGTTGCCTCCCGCATGTGCTCTGACCAGGTAGGTGCCCTTGACTGGGAATCAAACCCGAGACTCTTCGGTGCACAGGCCAATGCTCTAACCACTGAGAAACACTGGCTTGGACTATAGCAGGCTTTTGTTTTTATAAATAGAGTACACTCTAAGATAATAAAAAGTATAGTATAGTAAATATGTAAGCCAGTAATATTGTCATTTGTTATCATCAGATATTATGTACTGTACATAATTATATATGCTACTAGAGGCCTGATGTACAAAATTTGTGCAAGGGGTTCGGCCCCCACCTCCGTGGCTTCGTCCAGAAGGTCGTCCAGTCTAATTAGCATTTTATTATTATAGGTACTTTTATAGGACTGGTAGTAGGTTTGTTTACACTAGTATCACCACAAATGTGAGTAATGTGTTGTGCTATGATACTAACATGGCTATGACATCAGTAAGTGATAGGAATTTTGTCTGTCTGTTAATCCTCACCTGAGGATATTTTTCCATTGATTTTTTAGAGAGAGTGGAAGGGAGGTAGAAACAGAGAGAGAGAGACATTGATGTGAGAGACACACATCAATTGGTTGCCTCCCACATGAGCTGGGGATTGAGCCTGCAACCGAGGTATGTACTCTTGACCAGAAAGTCCCAGGCTGATGCTGTATCCACTGAGCCAAACTGGCTAGGGCAGGTGATAGGAATTTTCAGCTCTATTATAATCTCACTAGAGGCCTGGTGCACGAAACTTGTGCATGGGGGAGGGTCCTCTCAGCCCAGCCTGTACCCTCTCCAATCCAGGACCCCTTGGAGGATGTCCGACTGCCAGTTTAGACAGTCGGACATCCCTCTCACAATCCTGGACTGCTGGCTCCTAATTGCTCATCTGCCTGCCTGCCTGGTTGCCCCTAACTGCCCCCCCTGATAGCATGATCGCCGCTCACTGCCTCTGCGGGCTGGCCTGATCGTCCCTCACTGCCCCCCTGCCAGCCTAATTGCCCCTAACTTCCTCCCCCACTGGCCTGGTTGCCTCTTACTGCCTCCCCACCCCCACCGGCCTGGTTGCCTCCAACGGCCTCCCTCTGCCAGCCTGGTCGCCCCTTACTGTCCCCCGCCCCCGCCAGCTGGTCGCCCCACGCAGCCTGCTGTTCAGTCATTGGGTCATCCCTCACTAACCCCCCTGCCAGCCTGGTCACCCCACGCAGCCTGTTGTTCATTTGTTTGGTTGTCACTTACTAACCCCCCTGCCTGCCTAGTCGCCCCACGCAGCCTGCTTGTTCAGTCGTTTGGTTGTCCCTCACTAACCCTCCTGCCAGCCTGGTTGTAGGCAGCATCTTGTGAGGGCATGAGGGTTAATTTGCATATTACCTTTTTATTATATAGGATTAGGCCATTGCCATTTTTGCAGTCTGTTGTTGACCAAAATGTCATTATGTGGTGCATGACTGTACCTAAAGTAGCCCATAGGCAGCAATGTGCTGATAAACCAGATTTCCAGAGGGGGAAAACCTCTGATTTGTAACATTTGCCTGTTTCTGTGGTATAATTACTCCCATTATGGAATTCAAAGTTCTAGAATGTATAATAATCTGCTTTTCAGCTGGTTACCCTCCAACTCCAGCTTACCACTGCTGAACATTTGGCTCCCCATCCGGCCCCCCAACTGCTGCCACTTTCCCCCTTGTCCACTCCAGACAGGCCAGATGTGCAGTACCTCACAGGATCTTTGTATTTGCATTTTTCTACAACTAGAATGCTCTTCTGAATATATGCAGGTTTGCTTATTTCTTATCTTTCTCAAA